AATACCATTGTTTTGAATATAATAGTTTGTATATGTTATAGTTTATATATTACTAATATATTTATAATAGTATTTAGTTTCCTCAAAAATACTATTATTATCCAGAGCCAATATCTATATATTTGCAGTCAGTCTTTTTGAAGTGATTGATTTAAGCCTCTGTCTTGCCGCCCAGCGTGCGGAGGAGGAGTTGGCGCGTCTGCTGTTGGAGATGGTGTTGTGTGTCATGTGGAGAGGGGTGGAGGGGTCAGATGACACCGCCTGGCTGGAGAGGGGTCAGGTGTTCTCCGCTCTCACCAAACTGGGCACTGCCAATGAGCTGCTGCTGCCCGTCGACCACATCAAACTCAGGTCAGACTGCATCTCACGTGTGCTTTCTTTGGAACTGCTGGAATACATTTTTCACAGTCAAAATGCAGCATCATAAAAGCACTAATTAAATGGAAGTTAATTTTCAGCTTAAAGGGGTCATATGACGTTGCTAAAAAAGAACATTATTTTGTGTATTTGGTGTAATGAAAACACCAACACGTTTAAGGTTCAAAAAAACATATTATTTTCCACATACTGTACATTATTGTTTCTCCTCTATGCCCCGCCTTTCTGAAACGCGTTGATTTTTACAAAGCTCATCGGTCTGAAAAGCGAGGTGTGCTCTGATTGGCCAGCTATCCAGTGCGTTGTGATTGGCCGAATACCTCAAGCGTGTGACGGAAATGTTACGCCCCTACCATACTGTGATGCCGTGTCCCGGCGCGACGAGACAAAACCAATAAAACCCATTATAAACAAGGCATTTGTTGCATCCAGTGGGGACATAATTATGGATTATAATAATTTATACTGTCTTTTTACGTGTTGCGTTGCATCACGCCGCGTAAACATAAAACCATGTCTGCATTTGTGATCGGAGAAATGACAAACTACAAACGCTACTCTACTCTGCTCAAAACTCGCGTTTGAATCGTCAGTGGCAAATTCTTTTAATATGAAAACGTACTTACAGGCTGTGAGTCAGCATGATTTGTCAGCATCATAGACTGTATAGGGTCAGCATGCGCGCCGAAGAGGAAACAGGGGAACTGAATTCACCGGAACCGGCATTGTAGGCTACTCTCCCAGGAAACAGTCCTCGTCCTTCGTAAAATGCGTTGCACACATCTGAATATTTGGTTTGAACTGTTCTGGAACAGTGTTGTAAATACAACTTAACCACTATTCACGAACAGCTTGTAACACTCCAAAGAGAAAGGAAAACTTGAAATCGCATCATATGACCCCTTTAATATTTTTGCTTGCTGAAATTTGAGCCATCAGAATCGATTTGAACAGCTAGTTGTTCATGCATTTGCTAATGTCTTTCTCCACAGCCTGATGGAGAGGATGTTGGAATTGGCCGTAACGGGAAACCGAGAGGCGACGACGGCCACGCTGCCGCAGCACACGGAGAACGCGGTGCGTCTTCTGCACGTGGTGCAGGACTTCCTGCAGGCTGAGGGGCTGGTGAATCCCGCTCTGTGGACTGAGAAGGTTCTGGAGGAGACGGTGACTCTGATGGACGGGCTGATGGTGTGGTACGCCTCTGGCACGCAGTGGCTTCAGCTGTCTCAGGTGGGGCTACGGCTGCTGCTTGGGTTCATGGCACAGGAAGACCCACAGGTGAGAGGTCATAAGGTCAAATGTGACCACAAAACCAGTCATAAGGGTCAATTTTTTGAAATTGAGATTTTTACATCATCGCCTTTAAAGTTGTCCAAGTGAAGATCTTGGCAATGCATAATACTAATCAGAAATTAAGTTCTGATATATTTACGGTCGGAAATTTACAAAATATCTTCATGGAACATGATCTTTACTTTATATCCTAATGATTTTTGGCATGAAAGAAAAATCTATAATTTTGACCCATACAATGTATTGTTGGCTATTGCTACAAATATACCCGTGCTACTTATGACTGGTTTTGTGCTCCAGGGTCACATATTAGGTATTGATATACAGTACCGTTTGGGCCCAGTTTTAGCAAGGATGCATTAAATTTATCAAAAGTGACAGTAAAGTAATTTACAATGTTACAACTGTTTTCTATTTCAAATAAATGCTGTTCTTTGTTCATCAGAAAATCTTGACTCTTGTGTTTTCCACAAAGAAATTAAGTAATAACCGTTTTGAACTTTTATAGTAATCAGAAATGTTTCTTGAGCAGCAAATCAGCATATTAGAATGATTTCTGAAGGATCATGTGACACTAAAATTCAGCTTTGCATCTCAGGAATTAATTGCATTTTAAAATATATTCAAATTGAAAGTATTACAGTGTTACTGTTTCACTATAAAACTGTACTGTACTGTACTTTTTTTAATCAAATAAAGGCGAGCATTCTTTTTAAAACATTAAGAAAATCTTACCAACCCCAAACTTTTGAACTAATAATCGTACTCAGATCTTCAGTTCATACACATTTTTCCTCATTCTGGCAGGTGTGTGCCATGGCTACAGCCAAACTGAATGGCATCTTGCAGACGAAGACGGTGGACTCTCAGGACGAGGCCTGTTATCTTCTGGGCCGTGTGGAGGGAATCCTCAGGCGCTCTGTGAGCGAGGAGCGGACAGAGGAGACCTACTCGTTTTTAGTGCCTCTCCTCCGTACCCTCCTGTCTAAAGTCCACAAACTCCTGTACATGGAGCTGCACCTCCCTTCCCTCCCCGACACCAACGGAAGCCCGTCTTTTTTTGAGGACTTCCAGATGTACTGCAGCTCTCCGGAGTGGAGGGTCTATTTGGATAAATATGTAAGACCTGTGTTAATACACTAAATGAGGACAGTTGTGATTTTAAGCTGGATGAAGTCTCACGTATTTTCTATTTTTGATATGTTTAACTATTAATACATTGTAGTTGGTTGGTTTCTGCTCTTCGTTGCACCCTGTAGTTAGTAAATCAGAATTTTGTGTATGTTTTATCAGATTATTCCCTACATGAAGCAATATGAGATCGAGACGTTCAGTCAGGGTCATGAGAACATGGCTCTTTACTGGAAGGACTGTTATGAGGCATTCATGCTCAATCTGCACCGCAGGGACCGAGAGAGAGGAGAGAGCAAGATACGCTTTCAGGTGCAAAAACATCTACACTCACACACACCACCGTTCAAAAGTTTGGGGTCAGTATCATGTTTTTTTAAAAGAAATTGATCTGTTGAACTTTGTATTCATCCAGGAATCCTAAAAAATATGTATGGTTTCTAAAATTTTTTTTTTTACAAAAATATGAAGCAGCACAAGTTTTCAACATTGATAATAATCAGAAATGTTTCTTGAGCAGCAAATCAGCATATCTGACCCTGGACCACAAAACCAGTCATAAGCGTCAATTTTTTTTTTAAATTGAGATTTATACATCATCTGAAAGCTGAATAACTAAGCTTTCCATTGATGTATGGTTTGTTATGATAGGACAATATTTGGCAAAAATCTGAAATCTTGAAAATCTGGAATCTGAGGGTGCAAAAAAATCAAAATACTGAGAAAAATAGCCTTTAAAGTTGTCCAAATGAAGTTCTTCGCAATGCATATTACTAATCAAAAATTAAGTTTTGATATATTTACGGTAGGAAATTTACAAAATATCTTCATGGAACATGATCTTTACTTAATATCCTAATGATTTTTGGCATAAAA